GCACATCAGTTAACATCATGGCATTTACATCTTCACTCCCTGGGTGTTTCCTGGGCTGCCTCATCAGAGTCTGATGTCCTCAGGTGGCCTCCCTTCCAGGAACAATCCCATAGATTTTGGCTTGAGTCCCATCCTTTGGTGAGTGAACTTGGAGCTCAACTGTCCAGCTTGGGCATGAGAGCCATCCTTTTTTCTAAGTAGCTATCGTGTGGTAGGCACTGGAAGTGTGTGTGTGTGTGTGTGTGTGTGTGTGTGTGTGTGTGTGTATGTGTGTGTATGCATGTAATGACCAGGATGTAAGTGCTGTTGTCTTTTAGAAGTCCAGAGGCCAGAACAGAGGCAAGTGAGCCATTACAGTGTGAGCAAAGTGCTGAGAGGGAGCGAGGAGCTGTTCTTTAGAAGAGGCGGCTTGCCCTGATTTGTAATATCCTAAGCAATTAATTCATCCCTTTAGAACTATGAGCCCTCCCACCGAGGGAAACCTTACTTGTTTTCTTCATTAGTCTTAGGAACCATACTCACACAAATGCAGATAGAAATTATCTTTAAACTTTCATCTGTCTGTCTGTCTGTCTGTCTACCAACCATCAGTTATCTCTCTCTCCATCCACTCTCCCTCCCCCTCATGCTATGTAGCCCAGGCTAGCCTGGAACTCGAAGTCTTGACCTAGCCTCCCAAGAGCTGTGATAACTGGAGCAGTGTGTGCCCAGCTTCATTTAGCTCCCCACTGTCCAGCCCCCTCATAGTCACCGTTATCCTCCATTCTGATTCATATTTCAAGCTGTTTTGCTTCCTTAGCAAATAGGAGAGTGGCCCCTGCCACTGTTTCCTGCCTAGTGACTCTTCGTGCAAACATCTGGGAGGTGGCCTCCTGTTAGGGACCACTCACTCGTTCCTGAGGAGTTTGTTCAGCAATTAAAACATTCCTTTTATAGCCAAAGAAAATCCCAGATTTGGAGTTTAGAACCTGGGGTCCAGCCTGCTCATTCCTATTCACAGCAAGCAGTGCTTTGATCTCCCCTAAACTCAGGTTTCATGGTTAAGGATTAAGGGTGTGAGATGCTGTGATATTCACATACAAGAGTAGCCAGCCTGGGCCAGGAGGTTCCTGGGCTGGTAAAGAAGACACCAACGATTGAGCCCTGTGTCACCTAAAGCCCGGGGAATTCTGGAGAAGTACAGAGCACTTGGCATTTATTGGGAAGCCCTTGTCTCCTGGCTGCCAGTCAGAAGAGATGTGGAATGCCAGTTTCTCACATTTGCTTTTCTTGCTGCTCTTTGCGAATTCTGTACTTGCTCTTTCTCTTTTCCTCTTTTCTTTTTTCCATACAAAAATAGTCATGGGGGGAGACATAGAGCAGGTCTTCATTGTTTAAATGCAGAGAGCCCCTCAAAGGCAGCCAGTGCCTTCAGGCTCTCCTGGACCTGATAGGGTGTGGAGAATGGAGAGGGGACTGGGAGATAGCATCTCACACCACCTGGTTGCCCCTTCTGCATCCCAAATCAAAGGAACTGCGGCACCCCCATCTGCTACCCTTTCGCCCTCTCTCCTCCTCCTGCCAGGCTCAGCTTCCAGGGCCCCATGGCTACCATGGGCCTGGCTGCCTGGGAAGTTGCAGAATATAACTCCAACTTTCAAAGCCCTACATGTAGCTTTGCAGAGTAGCTCCTGTTCACACCTTGGCTTGTCCCCTCACTGCTTCCTGAGCAACCCACACTCAAGCCCTTCTTCCCCCACCCACCAAAGAAGCCTGTTCCAAAGCAGAGCCATAGGATAGCTCCCCACTTAGCCTGCCGGGTGGGTTCTGCGTGGCTCTGTTGGAATGCCCTGGGTACTAGTGGAGTCAGGGTAGAAGGCTGGCTTCCACAGCTGGATGGACTCCTGGGTTGTCTCATTCATCCTGGTCATTCATCCTGGAATCTGTGCTCAGGGATCTGCCCATAGCTGACCCATCTGTCTCTAGTGGGGTTTCTTCAAGGGGGCGGAGGGCAGGGGATGGGTGTGCCCGGCTCCATCTGCCTTTGTCCTAAGTAAGATAGGGTACGTTCCCTGTCTTCCTCACTGCTCTCTTCTGCACTTCCCTCTCTCCATCCCTGTGACAGCCCTCAGGCCTTTGCTGATTACCTGTCCGGGCAGGTCCAGAACATCACTTCAGCCATCTTCTTCTCTGTTCCCTCAATTCAGTATACCTAATGACCCTCCTACCCATCAGGACATGCCATCTCAGGTCCCCTGCTGTGCTCTAAGATTCTGCTAGACTGGAAGACTGCCAAGGGCAGCAAGTGTTTAAAATCCAAGAGAGGATGACACACGGGCGGGCGTGGAAAGCACACCCAAGCCCACCATTTCCTTTTCTGTAAAATGGTACGGCGAACACACTCATGTGTTAGGGTCAGCCTGGGGAACGGAAGGGCCGGTGAATTGCATTTGCTCCTCTTAGTCTGATAGTGACTCAGCTGGGTGTCATAGTGAGACTTCATTGTAGCTTTGACAGGTGTGACTGGGGGAGCAGGGCTGTGGCCCTGGACAGCCTTCTACTGCCTGCCTGCTGTCTCCTGGCTTTCAGCTCCCAAGCCCCGGATGTATAGATTCATTTCTAATCACACAATGATGGGACAGCGGAGGGGCTGGGGGAGACTGCAGGTATGAGCTGGGGAGAAGGGCTGGGAGAAGATATGAAGGTAGGGACAAGCACGGGGGTCCTTGGTGACACCTCACCCTCTCCCCTGAGATATAACAGTGCTCAGAGCCTACCGGCTCTGACTGGTCTCACCTGTTGGCTCACTTTACATATAACACATCTGGGTGTTGCTGAACTCCACACTTCAGGAGGAATGGTAGCCAGGCCAGCTCAAGCAGCCATGGAAGAGAAGGTCTTCTGGTGGATGCCTCCATCAGAAGTAATGCTATAAGAGAGAAGAGGTAACCCTGCATGCTCCCTTGAGCAGTCGAGTGAGGCTGCAGAGGACAGAAGTATCCTCTGTTCAGGGTGATTGGTCTCACACAGAAACCAGCCAGACATCCGCCCCCTTTTCTGCAGATAACACCCCAGGACCATTGTGCCCCACAGGGGAGATGCTCGCTGCTGGTGGCTGTTCACACAGAGCTTTGCTGCTGGGCTCCCCTTGGTTTCAGAAGGTGCTCAGAGGGGTGGAAACCGTGCGGTTTCTGTAAAGGAGCCACACTCTACATATCAGAACTATCACCTCTAGGGTGGGGACAAGTGAAGATGAAGGCCCCCCCCCCAGGTGGAATTACCGTCCCCCTCGCTTCACGGCCACAGCCATGTGTCCATCTGTGCCTCCTCGGAATGAATAACTTCCTGTCCTGACTAGATTTTTGTGCTGCCCAGAGCGCAGTCAGTAGCACTCCTGTTTCCTCAAGGGCTCCCCTCTTAGGGCTCAGGATAGAGGGTTCTGGGGTAGACACTCTGCTTCTTGGAAGGGCATCGATTCGTCCCTCTAGCCATCCCTATGGAATGCCTTCCAAAAGCTGAGCCCCTTGTTAGAGCTTAGTTCCCCACTAGGGAGTCAGTGACACAAAGGAGAGACTCAGTCCCCGTTTCCCCCCAACCCCCCCCCCCCAGTCTTCTATTTCTCATCATTTGCAAACCGTGGTGGCCCCAGGTCAGCAATGCAGACTTCTGCACAAGCCCAGGGGAGGCTTATTGCAGCGCTTCTCAAGAGGATCAAGGGCTGGTGGGATGCTCCCCTGGCAGGCACATTCCTCCTATCTTTTCTGGGACCTCGGGCTCCAAGAGGACCCAGCTGAGACCAAGAGCGCCGCTCCCTTGCTCTACTGCTGGTATAAGCAGCGCCCCCCTCGAACCACCTGCCCCTTGCAGCCCTGGCGTCCCGCTCAAGAACGCATAGGCGGGGGCTCGCGCAGCTGCAGGAGTCTCTCGGAGCCGCGCTTGCGTGTGCGCGTGGAGGGGGCGGGGAGGGTGGCGCGCCCCGCAGAGGCCTGGGGGCGCTTCCCCACACCTTGCGTCTGTGCTGCGGTCCCTCTACCGGTGCGCTTAGCCGTTCTCACGTGTGCAAAAGCGTGGTGTGTGTGTGTGTGTGTGCGTGTGTGCGCGCGCGTGTGTGTGTGCTCGCGCGCGCGCGTGTAAAGGTACTGCTTAAAATCGACCATGTGCCCCAGGCTGGACAGGCCCGATGTTCACAGGGGGCGGCAGCCAGCCTAGTAGAGGCCACGTTTCTTTCCCTTCCAGCCTTTCTCCCCAGACCTATCCTCCAGCTTTTTTGGCTCCTTGGTAGCTCCAGCTGTCCCCCTCTTTTCGCTGCCCTTGCTGGGGCAAAAGAAACCAGTGCTTTCCCATGGAGGTGCTGCTTTCTCCACTCCCAGCCTCTGAGCCCTTGACATTTAGAAGGGTTCTGAGCACACTGGTTTAGGCACACAGCAGACCGCTAATCCTATTAAAGATATTGTGTCATTGGGGAGGGGGGTAGCTCCCCCACCGGAGCCAGACAGGCCTTGAGCCCATTGGTCGGATGCAAAGCAGGGGGCGGGACTCAGAGCCCGGGGAAGGGGCTCTAGGCGATTTCAGTGTGGAGAGTCAGGGCTGGGATTTCGCCGGGCAAGCCCAGCCGTTGCAGCTGCGGCGGATCCCGAGGCTCTGCCCGTGGTGCACCCGGGCAGCCCAGGGCCGACAGCGGCTCCGCAAAGTCGCGGAGCAAGGGAGGCCGAGAGCCGCAAAGTGGTGGGGCTCCGGTCTGGGCTGGAAGAGGCGTGCCTGCGGGAGCCTAGATCCCGGCGCCCTTCGGCCTCGAGTGCAGAGACCGGTTGACGGTGCAGCCGCCTGGGAAAGAGCAGTCAAATTACAGCCTCCCCAAAGAAGCCTAGTTAACGCAGGCGAAGCGGCGGCTCCCCGAAGCGTGCTTAGAGCGGTGCCGCAGAGCCCTCCCGGGCCAGCGAGCTAAGGCTGGGAACCCGGTGCCGTCCCAGAGGCAGCTGACCCCCCGGCAGCGGGTTGCTCCGCTAGTGCTCTCGGGTGTAGAGAGGGGGCGTGCAAAGCTCCAACGGTCCGCCCGCTCAGAACCGGTGCCCGACCGGGGTAGCCCCTCTGTCCCACTCTGGGAGCAATGCCCTCCGCGCCTCGTGCCCCCCGGGAACGACATGAGCATGGAGAAGTCGAGTAGTGAGGATTCTTCGATCCACCGGAGTCCATCTTTGGACAGCAAGGACTCGGACTTTGCCAAGCCGTCCACCTCTGGCCGCCCGTTCGGCCGCGGCTTCACGGCTGGCGCCTTCTACGGCACCGCGGGTTCTCGGGGTCAGAGCCACACGGAGGCCGGCGTTAAGACTGATAAGTACAATGCACCCAAAGGCAGCAAGTACGTGGTGTTTTACCTGGACCTGTCCTTTGTGTTCCTCCTAGAATTTAAGAAGTGCAACATGGCCAGGGGCTGCCTCTGCTGCTTGAAGTACATGATGTTCCTCTTCAATTTGATATTCTGGGTAAGTCATTAAGGGTGAGTCTTCAGTTGCTCCCTCTCAGTTGCTTTCCACACTGGGAATACCCTCTTCCTCCTCCTTGCTGCATCGTTCCCTTCTCTACTCGAAGGTAAGTGCTTTAAGAAAAAAATCGCATCCCTCCTTTTGCATTTTTCTCTTCCTTTCCTCCTTCTCACCCATGACTGAATAGAGGCTCCAACTTGTCCGTCTTCCAGGAGAGACACGGTCTGCTCCTAGGAGGTCGGCAAAGTTTGCCGCTGTCTCCTTGCCCACCTAAGAAAAGCCACGCTGAAGTGCCTGCATCAGGGGACCTGCATCAGTGGGTGTGGGTCAGATTTTGAGCAGCTGTGCTGCTGCCTTGCTGGGAGACACCACGAGGATGGGTTCTGAGTTTCTTCTGTTGCTGCTAAACGCAGTCTGCTACATCGTGGGTGTGGGATGGAGAGTGGAGGTCTCAGTCCTCCAGCTCCAGCTCATTTCTGTGGCTCCCAGGGAAAGGAGGAGGCAAAGATATCGGGCAGAGGACTGACTGTTGCTTTTGAGGGATTGCCGTGGACTGGCAGCCAGAAGTCTGGCCACACTTTCCCAGGTTCCAGGAGACCCCAGGACAAGAAGGAACAAAGGAAGATGCCTAGGCAGTGGTGTCCCTGTCCTTGATGAGAGATGATTTTTTTTTTCTTCTAGAGAAAGTGTCTTATGGATGGGCTGGCTTGGAAGTGCCGCCTGTCTCTTGAAATACCCTCTGTGGTCGTGCATGCTCAAGAGGTACTAGCTATACAAACTGGATGAAAACTTCTTAAATTCGGATTGGACTCTTCCTCACTACCGCCTCTGCCTTTCTTCAGAGTTCAGACCACTCAGCACAGATGTTTGGCTCATCCCCAGGCTCAGTCCTGGCCACTGGCTGGAGGCTGTCAGCTGCCATGCATGGTCCAGGAGGAGCCTGGGGGCAGGAGAAAGACACCCCGAGTGAGGTTGGGTAGCCGTGTGCAGCTTCTGGGGAGTGACCTACTATAAGAAAAACGCGTGTGTGTGTGTGCGCGCGCGCACACACACACACACGTGCATGCGCATACACATGCGTGTGTGTATGGGGCAACTTTTCTGGGGAAGTTCTAGACTGTGAAGGAAGAATCGTTGAGTCTTGTCTGGTTTCCATTCTTTGTTAGATTCTTGTGTGACCTTGAGTAACTCACTGTGCCCCTTATGGCTGGGGCTTCCTCTCCAGTCCAGGCTGTTAGGATGGTCTCCTTCACAGCCCTTACTGTCCTAGCAACATGATACCCTGGGGGGGGGGGGAGGCTCACCTAGGTGATCACCGATGTCTCTTTTCCCGAGAGCCTGGTCTGAGATGAGGCGGGTTCCTCTAGATCTTTCCATAGTCTTGGGGGGCAGGGGTTCTATAGTCTTTCGGGGAGGTGCAGACTTTGTGATCAGTGTTGCCTGTCACATGGTTGAAGTTTTAGGAAAGCTGGGGTAGATATTCCCATTCTCTTTCTGGTGATGAGAACCATTGGAATGTTAAGAATGACTCTGTCATGTTTTGTGGGCCAGTGCCTTCTGCTCTTTCTGTCCCTTTGCCAGGATCTGTGTCAGCCCAGTACTTGTATTTCCTTGGTGTCCTGGTCCTCACGAATGCTGTCATTTCCATTGTTAACGCAGCCTTCTCTTCCCCCTCTCATAACTTCAGCCTACCTTTTTGGTTTGCCACTGCACATATATTAATTTATGAAGACTCCATGGGCGTGGGTGCTCAGTGCCTTTTGACCAGTGAGTGACTCCCACTCTGCAGCCCCTCTTCCCCCCACTTCCTGGCCACCTTCACCTCGCCGCCTGCTGGCCACAGTTGGTATAACTGCCTGCGATGCCTTCAGAATGAGTCTGGCTTGGTTTGGGACTTAAGGGGCTCTTTGCAGGCTCCGGTCTGTGTCATGAACATAGCAGTGACCCGCAATACTTTTGTAAGCAACCAAATGGAATGACTCTCAGGAGTGGATCGCAGTGTGGTGTTACGTGGTTGGGTAATGGGGAAGAGAAGTTAGGTATCAAAGTGGCACCTTAAGCTGTTGTGTGAGGAGTGATTCTATCTTTTCCACAAGTGGCAGCAGTCCCTATCTAAGCCAGTCTGGTGATGCACCCGCCCTTTCTAGTGTAGTCAGAAGTTAGAGATCTTACTGCCTGGTCCTAATTAGAACTCTTCCCTGGCGGAAGAGTTGCACGATCCCATTCTCGGACTTTCTAATTATTTAGTATTCTTTAATGTCACTACCATATGAGATGCTGTTGTAGAGTGTAGATTTTTAGGAAATGGGGAATTTAGCAGGAGAGGAATGTCAGTTGCCTGTGTGTTTGCCAGTGGTTTCTGGAATTAGAGTGGGGGGTGCAATCTGGGGAGTACCATGATGTACTCAGGTGAGGACTTCCACCAGGCAGGTGCCTCTCAGCTCAGAGTAGGGACAGAACAGAAGAAAGTTCTGATTGAGAGGGGACAGCGTGGTAGGGTGGGTGTGGCAAGGTTCCCTGGAGGCCTCTGCTGCTCTCTCATGAATAGCGAGTGGGGGGCAGAGGAGGAAAGGGGACAGTGGCGTGAGGAAGGCTTACACTCAGTCCACTGAAACTAGGAAGTACAGTTACTTAGCCATCTCTTGTTTTAGTGGCTCAAAAGCCCCAGCTTTTTTGTTTTTTTGTTTTTCTGTTTTTTGTTTTCCCTGAGAACTAGAGTTGAACTTGGGACCTACAGTCAGTATAGAATTTCTTATGGATCCAGAGCCTATTTGGGAGTTCCCCAGACACAGCGCCACACCCCCTCCCTCTATGATGGAACCTCTGGAGGCGTCCTGGTTCAGTGTGGTTCTGGTGGGCTTACACTGGGGGGGGGGGCTTGACTGCCTGCTTCCTCACCACTGGGTGGAGCTTTCAGGGTAGTAGTATTGGTGAAGGTCCTGGGATGTCCCTAGGGGTAGGATGGAGGCAGGGCTATGCTGTTCATGCTTAGCCTTTCTTACTAAGAAAAGGGCAGGTGCCTCCCAGGCTGCTGGGCGCCTGCCTGCTGGTGGGGGTCCAGGTCTGTTCCTGGCATGCTGGCTTCAGCCAGACAGTTCTAGCCTGGTAGGCGGCCCAGTGCACCATGGGAGCCTGGGGCACCCAGGAGGGCTGCTTGTCTGGGAAACTGACATAGATGGAGGGAATGTGTGGCCATCCCCTCCTCTTGGTCCTTTCCATACACACCCCCATCCTGATTTCCAGGGCCACCGAGAATTCTGGCTTCTTGATGTACAGGAATGGGAGGGCTGTAGTCTACAAAAGTTTCTTTCACCCCACACACTTCTGGGCCCTGTGTGCTTGAGAGGGAGAGAGAGGGAGAGAGAGGGGGGAGAGGGGGGAGAGGGAGAGAGAGAGAGAGAGAGAGAGAGAGAGAGAGAGAGAGAGAGAGAGAGAGAGAGAACACCAAAGTGGGCAAATCCAGATCCCAGCCCAGGTTCCCCTAACCTGAATCCCGTTGCTGTCTGAGGTGGGGGATGGGTGCCCCAACCCCGCTCAGGGTACGTCACTTACTTTTCTTGCTTGCCAGCAGAGGTGTTCCATCACTTTAAATCATGACTGGCGGAGCAGTGACACCCACCCGGCCCCTTTGGAAGCCTTTTCCTTGTGGATTGCTCCTTTTATGAAGGCCACGTTAGCAGCAGAGGCGGCAGTGTGGAGCGCACCAGCTAGGACAAGGGAAGGACAGGGAGGGAGCTGCCACAGGCAGAGTGCCAGGCCAGGCCCCTCTTGTTTGCTGTCCTCCGGTGCTGCTGTCCATGGCATTCCTCTCCGCTGCCTTAGCTGCAAACGCTCCATACGAGCATGGCCTCTGTGGGCTCGAGACTGAGGTCTGTGCACAGAGAATGTAAGGAAACCTATAGCGCTAGAGATGATCGCCGGGGTGCCCTCTGGTGTGAGGGTTTGGACTTGGCCTCACCTGGCCTCTCTCTGCAGAGATGTAGGTGGTGCAGGCAGCACAGGGAGAGACATTTAGGGATTTCCCATAGTGCTTGAGAGTGAGGGATGATTCCCTGGGAGGCGGCTACAAGCAGATCTTTCAGAGGTGGGGTGGGGCCAGGTCTGTCTGCTGGGGTCAAGAAGCAAGATGAAGAGGGTCTGGTGGAAACCCCAAGAGACCCTTGGCACGTGGCCGTGAGAGAATGCCAACTCTGTGTTCATTTCCAAAGCATTAAAAATTAAACTTCCTGGTCTTAATATCTATTTTTAAACCATGTCAGAGCCAGCAATTGCTGTCAATCAGGAGGGCTGGGGAGGGGGAGGGAAGGGATAGAAAAAGTCTCAGATGAGATGGAAAGACCTGCTAGGGCCTACAGCCTTACCCAGAGCGGCCAGGCCGGCCCTGCCCTGAGTAACACCCGGGCTGCTTCTGCCTCGTGTGCTTGGCTGCCCTTGGCTGAACTTGGCAGTAGGCTTTCCATGGCTTAGTAGGGTATTGGGTCCCAGTTGAGTCCATTCACTCACGCCACAACTATTTGCTGAGTGCCCGCTCCATGCACAGGAGCCTCCAGTTGGTAAGGACAGGGCAGATCAGTTTTCTCGGGCCAGGAAGTCATGGGATCAAGAGGTCATCTGTCCTGTCCTGTATGCAGCACTTGAACCCAGGACTGACAGGGTAGCATCTGTGTATGTGGGGGCCGCCGCTTCCCCCACATTTTAGGGTGGGCAGCTGCAGGCCCGGACCCAGCATCCTGGCTTGTCTTGGCCTTTCCCCTCCCCGACCGCACACCGCTATATTCTAATTGCCCTTCTCTGAAATGTTTCTCATATCAGAAAGAGAGTTTAAAAAGAGCTTCGAATGCCCCTCCTTTCCCTTAGTTTGTAAAATACAAACAGTGAATCACATGGTTTTCTGTTTTCTTCTATTGAAAGGACAGGTAGATGCCAGGTAGCCTGTGTGCTCGGCACATATTTATTGAGCACTTGTTGTATAGGCCATGCTGTTGAGCTGCTCAGAGTTC